ATAGACAACAGCCAAAATCGGACTCCGGCGCCAGCTTCTACTCGGAGCTAGAGCTCTTGAATTCCCAGCTCAAGTGCTTCTGCAGAAATTGAATTTAATTTGTGTATGAATAAAATACCAAATAAAAAAAAAAAAAACCAACAGCCAAGGGAAAACGGCTTCGAAACGCCGAAGATTAAATGCTCTATACAAAAACATGAATTTTAAACGAGTTTTGCCCTAGGAGCTATACGATAGTCGATCAGGTTTTGCACACATGTTGGGAGAAAACTATAATATATTGGTCCGATTCTCCGATTGCCCGAAACAAAAAGACGAAACTATTCAAAGATTCATGAAGACTCAAAGCTGTAACCCAAGAGGAACTTTTGATACTCTTCAAGAATATATATAACTTGTGAGATGTTTGACATTCGTGACATAATTATAATGCCCCCTGCAAGGGTATAAAAAGGTTGGGGTCGCTGTCGCCATTGAGATGAGCAGGTCGTTGAGCAAAATCAAAATAGCACAAAATGAAAATGAAATTGAAGTTGGCCGAGTGCTATAAAATCAACAACAACAACAAAGAATATGGCTACAACCCTGGCATAGGGTTACAGCGAATATAAAGCACTAGACACGGGTAGCGGAATTCTGCAGTCCCAGTCCCAGACGTAGCATCAGACCAACCCCAGCACCCAACCCCAATCGCAAGCCCCAGCCCAATACCAATCCCTGCCCCAATCACAACCCCAATACCAATCCCAGCCCAGCTCTGCGCAACGTGTTGCTGACAATGTACTGCTGCGAGTGGGGCAGGGGCCATTGCCGTTGACAGCGTTGACTCCGAGTGCGCTGTCACTGTCCATGATAGCGATGACCATGAAATGATAATGAAGTTCATGATGAGCTTCCCGTTGAGCATAATGATGATGATGTTGTGATTCTGGCTGTGACTGTGGCCAGACGCCAGCTCCCAGCTAAGAGTTCGACGCCGGCAATTTGAATGCTGCTAAACTGTTGTTGTTTCTGCTGTTGTTGTTGCTGTTTTTGTTGAGTTTTATTGCCGCTGGCTCGCAAATTTTGTTAGCAATGGCTCCTCAAAATGAAAACATGAAACCAAATTAAGACGAACATGACTCTTAAATGGAGGCAGAGGCGTTGCTGCAGCCGGAACGGGAGCCGGAGTCGTTGCCGTGACCGGAGATGAAGACAGAAACGCGGCATACGTAGAACCGGAAGCGTATAATGGTCGGCCTCAAGACTTGCTAATGATAGCCCAGGACGCAGCCCATCATGTTTAAACATGCCAACACACACACATATATATATATTATATATAGATATATATATATATAAATATATGAATATATAGATATATATATATGTATATATATATACATATATAGCCAGACACCAGCTCCAGCTGCTGCTCCGGACTCCAACTCCACCTTCAGCACCAGCTCCGGCTGCGGCTCCTGCTACGGCTCCGTCCGGCTGATGTCATTTCGTGCGTTGATGGATTTGAGTAATTTCTTTATGCCGCATGCCTATTTGGGGCATCGCCCCATCATAAATTGAAGCTGGATTTAATTACAGCCTGTGCTGCACAGTGGCAACAACCCTAACAAATCGCAGCACAAAACGAACAAATGTAAAACTGCTGCCATAAAATGTGTTCCTATAAGGTTGGATGTCGCACTTTAGGTGTAAGTATCATCGAAATTTCTTTGACAAATATATTTTCATTAAATATCGTGAAAAGCTAGCCTCTAAAGAAACTGTTCCAATAGCTGCTTCTTGATTTGTGGTTCAATTTTAATCAAGGCTGCTAAACGATTTCGAACCGAACCAAGTTAGTTGCAAAAACAACCGAAACGAACCCGAACCAAGGCTTCTAATTCCACTATTTGTTTTCCTTGTCTATAAATCTATAAATCCTTCCACCAAGCTAGTTGCCTTAAAGAAACAGCCGAACCGAATCCGAGCTAAAACATATTTTGTTGCAGTTCAGTTTTAATCAAGTCTACTAATCAGATTCCGAACAAACCGGTTTGAACATATGTATTCAATTATTCGGCAAAACATACGTTTCAACTCAATTATAATCAAGGCAAAAAACAGGTTTTGACCCGAACCGGCTTGAACGCTCAGATTCAATATATTTTCTTCAAACAAACTATTTTCCCCATAAAACAGCCGAAACGGAACCCCAACCAAACCATATGTCCTTAAAATTTATTTTGAAATGGGAACCGAATTTCATTTTCTTCGAAATTTGGTTCGAACAGTGAACCAAATTTATTTATCAAGCAATATTATTTTATCAATATTAGATTGAAAAAAAAATATATTTTGCACATTTTCTCTCTCGCAGATATCAATACGAAAAAATCGTATAAAATTTTTGAGCTCAAAGAAGGGCTATGTGAGCCACTGTACTTTTGGGAGCGGGTTCTGCTGGCTCGACAATTATTCAAGTCATGCAGATTCGCTCCCTAGCCGCCAGGTGGCGCGCCAGTGGTAATGTGTGTCATGACCTTACGAGCAGCCAACAGCCGCAAATTGTAATTTCTAATTTTAGAGACGCTTTCCTTGTCGTTGCTGCCACAAAGCGCTGCACAGCATTTATTAAAATCGCATTTCAGTTGCGGGGATTTTCATTTTTTTTTTTTCCTTCAGTAATGCTTTGCCCGCTTTGCATTATAAAATTGCAATTCATTTCCTTAATGTTGGCAATTTTGGGTGAAAACTACTCGTAATTAGATGTCGAACGTCGACTTTAATTACCAGCAAACTACAGGCTGCTAATCGATGGCAACCGCCTTCTAAATGCGGCTCATAAACTGGGCACACAGAGAACACTTCACGCAAACATGAAGCATTTCTTAGTTTTGAACGGCAATTTGCAGTTGTCACGTTTTTGCACCTTGGTCACTTAATTACCTAATTGGCTATTAGCTAATGGTTGGCATAGGTGACTGGTGGGCGTGGCAGCACGCAGCTGTTGCTCAACCAAAGGGCCGCAAAGGTTGGTCAGTTGCAACTGCGAGGGCCTTATTCAAAACTTAAACTCGAATAGCCATCGAATAGGCCTAGGCTGCACGTGGCAGGTGGCAGGTGACAAGTAGCAGGTGGCGGCTTGCCACTTTTGTGCTAAATGCTTGCAACATCAGCTGCAACTGCTGGCCACCAACCGGCCGCAGCTTGATCAATAAATTCATGTCCATAAACTATTTCCTCTCAGCTGCAAGTCCATAAATGAACGTGCTCTAAAATTCGAATTATGGTCAATTATATATTAATTCTTTTTTGTTTTTAATTTTCTACCTTCGTTGTGGTTTGAATAATTATAAATGAATTAATGCAAATAATTATATTTAATGGCGCTGTTGAAAATATGACATTCAAATCAACGCAGCCGCAATTAAAGTATTGACAGCTCAAACATTTCTAAACAAGTAGCTAAGTCGGGAGTGCCCAAATGGTAGATACCCTGTACACAGCGCCGAGATGCCGATCAAAGTGCCTGACTTTTTTATACTCTTGGAAAGGGTATTATAATAACATGTGTGTCGCATTGAAGGAGACATCTCCGACCCCGTAAGTTATAGTCTCTAGATCAGCATCAACAGCCGTGTTGATTTAGCCATGTTCGTCTGTCCGTCCGTCTGTCGGTCCGTCTGTCTATCTGTTTTTATGCGAACTAGTCTCTTGCCTATAAAGCTTTCCTCTTGAAAATTAGTATAGGCCCGTTCCATATGTCGGAACCAACCAAGCCGGACCACTATATCATATGGCTGCCATAGGAACGATCGCTCGAAAAGTAGGATCTTGCATGGCAAAATATTCGGTTTTCCAAGATATTTTCATCAAACTCAGTATTTTCGATTTTTACTATTCTCACATATCTGCAAGGATATTAAATCTTCGGCGTTGCGAAGATATTCTGAGTTTCTCCTTTATTTTTGTTTTGTATTTAGTGGTCAAGCAAACTAAGCTGAAAATCGATATATCGATAAACGAATCGAATAAACTAAAACTTAACTATTCGGTTCTTATAGTCTTTAAGACGAACAATGCTAGATTGACATTGACTTATAATACGTATCCTTGAGCATGTCGGAAACGTCTCCCGTTACCTACATCTGCACAATACTTATATAACCCTTTTACCCATTTTCAATGAATACTGGAATATGCAAAATTGTTCTACTGAACATAACTGACAGCATTCGGGATAGTTCTATTAATAACAAAGAGTCCTATTCACGGTTGAATATCCCGTTGAAAATCATAAAAAATGTTGAAAAAAAATATGACATATTTTAGGTATGACAAATTAATAAAAATTTAAAAAATAATCTTTTGAATACAGGGAAAATATACCCTCGACTTGCTTGGCGTATTATTGGTCGATTGTGTAAATAATACGAATTTAATATTGTGCAATAATTCCAGAATAATCTGATTGTGCGCATAAGTCTGTATTTCAATACGAGGGAGCGTATACTTGTGTTATTTGCACGTGTTTATTCAATTTGATGAGAGAAAAAAATAATTATTAAATAATAATATCATTTCTGCCAAGCGCCATGCGATATAAATAATTATATAAGAACTTAATTCATCAGATTTGAGTTTTTTTATTTCATTTACAAATTACCACCGCAGCCTTTTGTTTATATACAAATGCGCAATTCGGAGAACTCTGAAGCGCGCAGCTCAATGCCTGAGGCAAAAAATAAATAAAATAAAATAAATAAAACAGAACTGCAAAAATTGCAAATAAAGTTAACAAAAATGTGGGTCGAATATTGTAGTTGTTGGCAAAGCATAATCGGGGTGCCGCAATAAAAGCGCAGAGTGCATTATTCTCAGAATTAAGTCGAAATTCTTTACCCACAAACCAGATGGGGCGAACCCCCTGAGAACCAGAGCTCAATGCCGAGAAACACTCGACCAGCCTTTCAGTTGAGCTTAAAACTAAGAATATCATATCATTTGGAATATTTGTCCTTTTGACTTATTTTTATTACTGGAGTCGATGCTTATGGCAACAATTGTTGCCGCAATTCAGACATCAATGGAGTTGTACCTGGCGGAGCAGAGCACTTAGTCTGAATGTGTCCATGCTGCAATTCCTCTGGCCAATGCGGGTTGACATATTGAAAGCTGCGGGACGCGCCGAAGGGCGGTGTCTTCACGTTTATTAACTGCAGCGGAGACAAACAAGTCGTGGTTAGGTAGAGGGAACAGACCCCAACTGTAACGTCTTTGGTTAGTCTTTAAATATTTTTTAATGGATCGCTTTCAATTAGCAGACGGCGAGCAGCAGGAAGCAAGAAGCCAGAAAGCAGAAAATAGCCGGAAGCAGGAAGCTGCAACCAGAGCTGGACGCATAAATCAATGCGGCTTCCCGCTCTCTTATCGCTGACTCTATACGAGTCCTTTGACTGAACCTGAACCTGGACCGGGACCGGGACCGGGACAGCGTTAATTAAGTTCATAGATGCGCGCACTTTCAATACATAATCAAATGCCAATTAGCTGACAACTACAGCTAACGTCTGCACACCGAACCAGCGCCCTTCATTCCAGCCAAAACAATAAACAATAAAGCGAATAACAATGTGGGAAATGAAATGGACGATACCTAATTAGCTGGGCGCTACTTCGCAAGCAACCCACAGTTTGCCCAGGAGCTGCCGTGTCCTTGCCACATGTTGGTTGGCCTTCGTCCAAGTGAATTGCTTTCTTGGCGCGCTTTTGTGTGTGTGTCTACGTTGGCTCCGATTCGCACACATTTCTGGCTCATTGATTGCGACAATGCCCCGAACAAAAGCCAGCAAAGTGTCAACTTTTGGAATTGATAGTCACAGATACCAACACATGAATGACTTTTGGCCACACCCCAATTTTGACACCCACACTCACACACAGATGCAGCAGCTATATATAAAAGAAAACAACAATCAAGCATTGCCTTAAGTTTCTAAAGAAAAGCTGCGAATTAGCAAACGTATCGATGACACAATCAAAATTATGAGACGCATCGTTCGCTAAATACTAACAATAGCAAATAGGCAGCTAAGAAATATTTGACGTTTTAGATAAATTCGTTTATTTACCAAAGATTTAAAGACTTCGAATGCCATATTAAAGTTCTGCTGCGCGTGTGTTTAAAAGGCAGTACGATTGCTTGTTGGGGCAGCTCGTAGCTGGATACAGGGGATAGATTAAGCTTATACGATTTGGAGTTCACGCTCAAAATTAAAAACTCATCCAATGCTGCAAAGCTGGTTCGAATCGAACCGGTCCGTACTCAGTTCCAATTTATTTTTAGCCATGAAGCGAAGCCCAAAACCCAAAATGGAACCATACTTTGCTTCAAAAATTATTTGGTTGAATATAGCCGAACTGAAAACCGAACTGAAACTCGAACCAAGACATATTTTTTTTCAAATGTTCTGGTTCAAAATAAAGCACTCAGTCGCTTAGTAGCTTAAATTGAAGCAGCGACTATTTTCGTTTGGGTTCAAGCCCTGGTTTTAACCACTGTGCCATTCGTAGCGTCCGAGCTGTCGTACGATAATGCTTGCACGTCTTGCAACTGACACAATTCCCGTAACCTTCGTCACTTTGTGGCTCTTTATCGTCGTTTGCCGTTTAACTATTATCCCATGCTATTTCTTTGCTTGTTTGCCGGGCGGGAAATGGGCTGGCCGAATAATCGGTATCTGAATTATTCTGCATCAGCTGTGCCAAGCTGCAAGCAGAGCATCAATCGCCTCGGCTCAACGCCTTCCATTTGCTGACATGGCCAACTAGTTGGGGATGGCTTAGGATTGGGCATGTTTTCGCCTTTTACCTTTACTTTGAGTTTCGGCCTCGTTTGTTTGGGCTTGGATCGCACCTAGAGTTCGTTGGAATTTCGGGTTTGGGCTTGGTCTTGAATTTGGGTCGCATTAATCAAGTGCTTAAATGCCTTGCACAACATTTTGGTCTAAAAATTCGATGGCATTGTTAGCGGTGCGTAAAATCGGATTTTGGCAGCCGCTTCCTCTTGAAGGGAAAGCGACGCACGCTGCTGCCAAGAGATGACGGAGAGTGGTGAATGGAGAGAGGGGGGGGGCGGGTTGCGGGTTGCGGGTAGCTTAACGAGTAGTGACAGCAATGTACATATATCACGCAATTTGGCTTAAACGGCAGCTCATTTTAAATTAATTGCAGACAGAGCGCCGGCAAACTTGAATGAATAATTCGACTTTATTGATTTCCATGGTAAACACACCAACACACACGCACACGCACGCAAAGCAAACAGGCAAACAATTTACAACATGATACATTGTTCGTGTCTTTTGTTTGAGTGTGGCCGACTGTGCGTGTGTGTGCGTCTCTATGTTTTTGGGGCTTATCCTCAGTCGCATACCTACTAATACCCATTGGTATTTGAGACTAATGACAGAGATAACAGAGCTTTGACGGCCAAGCGGCGACCACACGAGTCAACAACACAGCAGCCACAAGACAGCAAGAGAGCGAGGCAGATACAGAGTGCCAGAGAGAGAGAGAGATAGAGAGAGAGAGAGATAGAGAGAAATGGAGCGGAAGCGAGGGTGCCGCAGTTTGGCAAATGAGGGATTACAATTTGCGCAGTGGCCATAATATTGATTACGGATCTGGGCTTTTGAGCCGACATATCGAGCCAAAGGCAATTAACTTCGAATTATGATTAAGATGAATACCAACCGTAGCAGCCGCCCCTTCAGTCCTCACAGCCCCGCATCATGAATATGTGTTCACACATTTCTAGTATTCTTTTCGCATTTCACACTTGACCTTTTGCAGGTCATTTTCAACTCAATTTCCATCTTCAACTCCATTTCCAGCGCCACGGACATGCCCTCCATTTTGCTGTTTGTCCACTGCTGCGCCGTGTTCCGCAGCTCCGGCGGGACTTTAGTTGCCGTGTTAATTATTTAAACTCCAAAGTTGCGAGCACAGACACTGGCGCCAAGCAGCTCCCGACCCGGGCACGTGCCGCAGCCACTAGGCTCATCCAGGTGCCAGCTGAGTAGGCGAACGTGTTGACGAGCGCGAATGAGTCGCCCAAGTCGGGCAACGTTTTTACCCGCTTCCCGCTCTCCGCTCCCCGCTGCCCCAGTCCACTCACATTCCCATGCATAGGCAGGGTGCGGGGCATGAATATGCATAGAGCGTAAGGTGGTTTTCGCATGAATTAGTTATGAGGCCTATAACCGGCGTATTGCCAAACACGTCGCTGTCGACCGGGGCACCATCCGGCAGCGACCGACGTCATAAAAGCCTTAATATAATTAAGCCGAGGCTGGCAAACAAAACAGGACAGGACATTAAACAAAGTAGAGAGCACAACCGAAAAACAGCAGAACGCCAAACAAAACGACAGAAACATCAGACAAACCCATTCAAGCCCAAAGTGGGCGGCAAATAATTTTGATTTTTTGATTTATTTTTCTCTCTCTTTTGTTTTGCCTTTTGAATGGCTTCAATGCTATTAACAATAAGCACGCATAAAAAGGACGACTATTAAATACCCTTGCATTACAAAATTTCAATTCAAATTTGTTTTTATAGAAAACAATACGACAGCTTTTATTTGTTGCATAAATTCTTTACAGTGTGATTAATATTATTATCATGATATATTTTTCTATGTACACACACACATGGGAGTATTTATGAGAGCCTGAAGTGAAGGCAGGCACTTTACATGACCGTCCAATGGTTCGTATGTGTAACCTATAAACGTGACTCAATACATATAAGTGTACCTATAAATTTACACACAAACATAGAATAGAATATATATGTATGTATATGTATTTATATGTATGCATGTGTATGTGTATGTGCGCTATATAAAAACATATGCATATTTGTAAACATGGCTTAGCTGCTCTATCTCTGTCACTTGCATGTGTGTGTGAGAGTGTGTGTGTGTGTGTAATATGCAAAATGTTGTCATAAATATAACAGAAAAAGCTAAAAGCTAACACAGACTGTCAGACAGAGAAAGCGACAGACAGACAGTCATAGAGACAGACAGATAGGCAGACAATCAGACAGATATTCAGACAGACGGACGGACAGACAATCAGATAGACTGGCAGGCGTTGGTTCGAGCTGCTTCTGAATGGCAAATTGCACTCGGATGTGCGCGCACACACAACACACACACAACACACGCACAAACATACACACACACGCTCACACACACGTGTGTTGTCCACAAACAAAGTTTTTCAAATCAATAAGTTACCAAGATTTGTCCTATATAAATATATATATGTATATATATATGTATATATATATTTTAACATATATACTTTGTTTGCAAATGTTATATATTTTGCATAAATATTGCACATTCAGTTCATTTTGTCAGCTTCTTCTTTGATTATTGAATTGGATTATCTTGGATTGTGTATTTGTGGATTGTTTGCTTCTCTAATTGCATAGTGTTCAAACGCTCCATAAAATATCAAATATTTATTTTTGTATTTAAATAAATATATGCCAAATTAAAATTGTGTTTAGATTGCGTTTTGCAATAAACTAAATTTGCTGTTAACTCATTTTAAATGACTTTCACAAGGTGTTACCATATCGAAAAATGGTCTAGTTGGATTGTTAATGTGAATTGTTTGACAAAACGAACCCCTCTTAATATATAATTATTTGATAACTGTTATTTAAAGCATGTCTCAATAATTAGACCGTAAACGCAACGCCAATTTGAAAATAAACTCTTTTTATGTTAAGATTACCATTAAAATGTCTCATCAATGTTTGACTATGCGCAATGCTGAGCTGAAATGCAATCAATTGAATATTCAAGGACTCAAGGACTTGAATAGCTTGTGTCACTTGACGTTGCGTTTTTTTTTCTTCCTTTAGAAATGGATTTGGCTGGCGTGCCTTGCCACAATCAACAGGCGCTTTGCTCATGCTCCATTGAAAACTAACGACTGCAAACAAGCAGCATATGCAAATATTGCTCATACGCAATGGGGTACGTGTGAGCGCGGGTGCGTGAGCAGCTGTGGCGGGCACTCTTGCTGCTGTTGTTGCTTAAAAGTCGCGTTGGTGACAAACATGTGACACGTTTGCGACTGGGCTGACAAATCAGCGCATCAGCAGCCCCGATACCAAGTCGTTAGAAATGCTCTTGCGCAAGGTGGAAACAAGGGCGCGAGCTGGAGTTGGAGTTGAAGCTGGGGCGCGGATGGAGGCCGCATGCCTTTGTTTAACCCATTATTGACAGCTCGACGGGGCGCATGTTGCTAAATTTAAATATGCCCAGCAGTTAGCCCCGAAATCCCGTTCATAGCTGCGCTACGTGCCGCACATTTTATTTTAATTAAATGCTGAAAAGTTTTTCTTTGGGCCGTCAAATTTCGTCGCTCGCCAGCCCAAATAGACCAAAACGGATGTTCATTTCACCTGTGTGCGTGTGTGTGCGTGTTTGTGTGAGTGTATGTGTGTCTGAGTGTTTCTGTGTGTGTGTGTGTGTGTGTGTGAGTGTGCGTGTGAGTAATTAGACAGGCTCCAGCACGTTTGCTTTGGTGGCTTCTTAGCGCGGCCAAAAATTATTACCC